CGGGGGGGGCGACCCGCGGGGGGGGGGGGGGTGGGAGGGGGCGCCGCCGTACGGCAGGCCGACCCGGCACGGGTACGTTCAAGGGCCCCGCACAAGCCCGGCAGCGTGTGGGAGGTGGGCTGCGGGGAGCATGGCTGGACAGGCTCTGTAAGACCCAGCTCTGCTCTCTGGCTCAGGCCAATTGCTCCCTCTTGAAAGAACCCCTGGAAAAGGGCAAACCCCTTGCTCACAGCCCGCCAGGAAGGGCTGCGGCAGCACCTGTCCAGGGTCCCCCAAGTCACCTTGCCGCAGCACCTGCAGTAGGCCTGAACCCCCCTCCCTGAGGATGGAAGCCCCCGAGGAAGAAAGGAGGCCGGGCAGCCCCAGGGCCCCTGCCCGTAACGATGCCCTTTCACTGCTAATCAATGACGCCTGCAAACCCCTTGCTCACAGCCCGCCAGGAAGGGCTGCGGCAGCACCTGTCCAGGGTCCCCCAAGTCACCTTGCCGCAGCACCTGCAGTAGGCCTGAACCCCCCTCCCTGAGGATGGAAGCCCCCGAGGAAGAAAGGAGGCCGGGCAGCCCCAGGGCCCCTGCCCGTAACGATGCCCTTTCACTGCTAATCAATGACGCCTAGCGAATGCCAATCATGGGTGCCTCTGCCCACCCGCACCACCCATCTCCCAGGGCTGGACAGGACTCTGGGGCACTGGGACACCCCTCTCCCCCAGCACCTGCATCCAGAGCCAGCACACCTCCTCCGGGCATAGCAAGGGCAGCACCCCTTGGGTGCCCAACACGCCCCGGCCCCTACCTTGTGCGTGAGGGAGTGCTGCTTGAGGTGGTGGATCTGGCTGAACTCCATCCCGCACTCGGTGCAGACAAAGGGCCGGACGTTCTGGTGCTTCAGCATGTGGTTCTGCAGCTGGCTGCGGTAGTGGAAGGACTTGCTGCACTCCAGGCACTGGTACAGCGTGGGGCCCTGGTGCGTGGAGAGGTGCCGCTTCAGCTGGGTGAGCGTGGAGAAGTCCAGCCCGCACTCCACGCAGACGTGGCAGCGGCCGCTCTCGTGCTTCACCTCGTGCGCCTTCAGCTCGCTGGGGTAGGCGAAGCCCCGGCCGCAGAAGCGGCAGCTGTAGGGCTTGATGTCGGTGTGCAGCAGCATGTGCCGCTTCAGGTGGCTGGTCTGGGTGAAGGCCTTGCTGCACACCTCGCACTTGTGGGGCCGCGTGCCCTGGTGGGTCAGCAGGTGGGTCTGCAGGTGGCTGGGCTGCTTGAAGAGCTTGTTGCAGTGCGGGCAGGAGTGGGGCTTGATGCCGTTGTGGCCCAGGATGTGGGTCACCAGGTTGTACTTGGACGTGTAGGACTTCTCGCACATGCGGCACTGCCAGCGCTTCTGGCCCTCCCCCGCCTCCACCAGGTAGGAGTCATCG